TCAACAATATTTTTCACAGAAATGGAAAAAAAAGAACAATCCTAAACTTCATTGAAACCATGCAAAATCTTGGATAGAAAGAATAAAACCAAAGGCATCACACTACTTGATTTCAGAATCTACTACAAAGTTATAGTAAACAAAATAGCACAAAACTAGCCAGGCATGATGACATACACCTGTAATCCTAGATACTCAGGAGGTTGAGGTAGGAGGATTGCAAGTTCAATGCCAACCTCAGCAACTTAGCAAGACCTTGTCTCTAAATAAACAAATAAATAAATAAAATGGGCATAAAAACATACACATAAATGAATTGAACAGAATGGAGCACCCAGAAGTAAACCTACATATTTGTGGTCAATTGATTTTTGACAAACATGCCAGGAACAAATGATAGGTAGAGGACAATCTCTTCAATAAATGGTGCTAGAAAAACTGAACAGACACATGCAAAAGAACAAGTCTAAATGGATTAAAGAATTAGATATAAGACCTGAAAGTATAAACTACTGAAGAAAATAAATACAGGGCAAAAGATCCATGACATTGGTCTGGGCAATGATTTTTGGACAAGATCCCCAAAACAGAGCAACAAAAGCAAAAATACACTTACAAGATTACATCAAACTTAAAAAGCTTCTGCACAGCAAAGGAAGCAATCAGTAGAGTGAAGAGAGACAGCTTATAGAGTGGAGAGAATATATTTGTAAAATATGGCATCTAATAAAGGGTCAATATTCAAAAGATATAATGAACTCCACTCAATATTAAGAAAACAGCATGACTTAAAAATGGGCAAAGGATCTGAATAGACATTTCTCCAAAGAAAATATACAAGTGGCTAATAGGTATATTAAAAAACTCTCAGTGTCACTATCAGGGAAATGGGAATTAAAACCACAATGAAATATCACCTGAAACCTCTTAGGATGGCTGTTTATGAGACAAAGGATTCAGATGTTGGTAAGGATACAGATGACAAGGAGCATCTGTATTCTGTTGGTAAGAATGTAAATTGGTACAACCATTTTGGAAAACAGTATGGAGGTTTCTCAAAAAATTAGAATAGATATACCAGGTGGATCCAGCAGTCCTAATTCTGGGTATATTCTCAAAAAAATATGAAATCAGCTTGTTAAAGATTCTGCACTCCCATCATAATTGCAGCATTACTCACAATAGATAAGACATGGAATCAACCTAAGTATCCATCAGTGGGTGAATGGGATAAAGAAAATGTGACTGGAATATTATTCAGCCTTAAAAAAAAAGCAAGGAAAGTGGGTTGGGGATGTAGCATGCACAAGGCCCTGGGTTCAATCCCCAGCACCAAAAAAAAAAAAAGAAATTGTCATTTTTGGCAATATGGAAAAACCTAGAGGACAATATGTTGCGTTAAATAATTCAGGCACAGAAAGACAAATACTGCAATGTCTAACTTATACATGGAATCTTAAAAAGTCTAGTGGTTACCAGAAGCTACGGAATGGGAAGATAAGGGAGATGTTGGGTAAGGGATGCAGCATTTTCAGTTATACAGGAATAAGTTTATGAGGTCTGTTGTACATCCATAGTACCTGTAGTTCATAAAAACCCTGTGAATACTGGAAAATTACTAAAAGAGTAAAATGAAATGGTCTCAGCACACACAGAAAAAAGTATGTGAAGTAATAAAATATTAGCTTCATTTAACCAAAATGTAGTTATATCCAAACATCATATATATATACCATAAATATATACAATTTTTGTTAACTAAAAACAAATAAATATGTCAGTAATTGTAGCATGAAAACAATTAAAATTTTTAATAAATGAAAATGTGAATTTAAGATTGAGAGAATTTCTATAATTCCTTTTGTTGCTCTTTTTTATAACTAAAGAAAATTATAAAGTGAATTAGTGAAATCCTAGATTAAAAAATTATAGATGCTTTATAAAAACAATGCTTATTAATATTTTTACATTTTTAATTTGACAAACAAGCTTGTTTTTTCTTGTTAGAATATCTAATCCAGAGCTAAGCATAGTGGAACATGCCTGTAATCTCAGTGACTGAGGAGGCTGAGGTAGGAGCAATTCAAGTTCAAGGCATCTTAGTAATAGCCTGTCTCAAAAAATAACAATAATAATTAAAAGTATAAGGGACATAGCTCAGTGATAAAACATCCCTTGGTTTAGTCCCTAGTGCAAAAAAAAAAAAATCCACGTTGGATTGATAATAATACTCAAGAATGATGTATATCTAAATTGTTTCTTTGCTGTTTTATTTTTAATATTTTGTTTTTAGTTGTAGATGGACACAATACCTTTATTTTTATATTTATTTTTATGTGGCATTTAGGATTGAACCCAGTAGCTCACACATGCTAGGCAAGCTGTACCACTGCACTACAACCCCAGCACCTCTATGCTATTTTTGTTTGTTATGTTGTGTTGGGGATTGAACTCAAGGTGTCATACATGCTAAGCAAGTACTTTACCACTGAGCTGTCTCCCCAGCCCCTCTATGCTGTTTTAATATCATTTATAAGATGGAACAGATTTACAAAAGGCTGATAATGGAAATAGAAATGGGAAAAATGTGAATAATTTCATCAAGTCTAGGGCATGTCACTTTTTTTAAACTCTTACCCAAATGAAAAAAGTGGTGTCTTTTCAAAATTCAATTTTAATGCTTCATTAGTTGTCAGTTAGAACAATTTATCCTGTAAGTTTTTAGTTAAATCGTCTTTTTAAAATCTTTTTTTTCCTCTTTTCTTGATTTTGTTTTTGGGGGCGTGTGGTACCAGGGATTGAAACAGGGCCACTCGACCACTAAGCCACATCTCCAGCCCTATTTTGTATTTTATTTAGAGACAGAGTCTCACTGAGTTGCTTAGCGCCTTGCCATTGCTGAGGTTGGTTTTGAACTGTGATCCTCCTTTTTCAGTCTCCTGAGCCTCTGGGATTACAGGCGTTCACCACTGTGCCCAGCTTTTTCCTGATTTTTTATTAGTGCATTATATTTATACATAATATTAAGGTTCATTTTGATCTAATCATACAAGCATGTAATACAATTTGTTCCAACTCATTTCCCAGTATTTTCTCTTTCTTCCCCCTATTCCTCTTCCTTTACTCTGCTGTCTCTGCTGTTCTTTGATGGAGTAAATAGATTATAGATGAAAACAAAACAAAAGAGATTTGGGGAACTAATGGAATTATAAAATTATCCAACAAAATTTTAATAAAAGATTAACAACTTGATGACTACAACTAAAGCCAGACATAAAAATTGAGGTTTGCATTTTTCGAACTAGGAAGTTATTTACTGTACCTAATATTTAAGAGAATGTATGCAAGCAGGGGTAAATGCTGTGTGAGTGTTTCTTTGCTTTTTATCAAGAAAGTTTTAAAGCACAAAATAGAAATGCCCTCTAATACCTCACCCATTTCAATTCTTGAGGGATTTTTAAAAATCCTAGGTATGGTATTTCACTTGTAATTCCTTTTATTTTTTTTGAGATGGGGTCTTACTATGTTCTACAGACTGGGCTCAAGTGATTCTCAGCCTAGCCTAATATTTTTGCACTAGCAAGTTATGGTATTATAGAGCCTCCTCTCACCCCCAGTACTGGGATGCTCTACCATTGAACTATATCCCAGCCCTTTCTGTTATTTATTTTGAGACTTAGTTTCTCTAAATTGCCCAGGCTGGCTTTGAACTTGCAATCCTCTTGTCTCACCTCCAGAGTTGCTCTGGTTATAGGTGTGTGCCACCACGCCCAGACTACTGTAGGGTTATTTTTAAAATAATTATTTTTGGCTTACTGAAGAGTATTTTCAGAAGTAGACACCAAGTTTTCTTATTTTAAAATATGTAAAGCTAAAGATGCTTTCTCTTGGCAAAAGAGAATAGATTTGCTCTCTGCTCGTAAAAATTCTTTCTTTTTTTTTTTTTTTTTGGCACTGGGGACTGAAAGGAGTACTTAACCACTGAGCCATATCCCCCCAGCCCTTTTTTATTTTTTTAAATGTTTTTTTAGTTATTGACAGACCTTTATTTTATTTATATGCGGTGCTGAGAATTGAACCCAGTACTTCACACATGCTAGGCAAGCATTCTATCACTGAGCTACATCCTCAGCCCCTTTTATATTTTTTATGTTTTATTTGGAGACAGAGTCTTGCTGAGTCACTTAGGGCCTTGCTAAATTGCTGAGGCTGGCCTTGAACCTGTGATCCCCCTGCCTCAGCCTCCTGAGCCACTGGGATTACAGGCATGTGCTACTACACATGGTCATGAATTCTTAATTTAGAAGAAAATGACCCATGTATACTGTCTTAACTTTGTCCATATCATAAGATTCTTCTTCAATCTGTCATCTTTTAATTTTTGAAGGTATCGCATAAATATGCTTTATATTTCTTATTTGGGTTACACAATGACCACTAAGATCATAGAGCAGTACCTATATTTACAAAAGAAACCTAAAAATCATTAAGAGTAAAGTGGATTGGCCATTGTCAAGTAGTTCATTTCTCATGGAACTAGAACTGGTGATCTCTTTTTTTGGTACCAGGAATTGAACCCAGGGGTGTTCAACCACCAAGTCTCATTGCTAGCTTATATCTATATCTATCCATCCATCTATATATATCTATAGCTCTCTCTCTCTCTCTCTCTCTCTCTCTCTCTCTCTCTCTATATATATATATATATATATATATATATACATACATTTTTTTTTTTTTTAACTCAGGGTCTCCCTGAGTTGCTTAGGCCTAAATTGCTGAGGCTGGCTTTGAACTCAGGATTCCCCTGTCTCAGCCTTCCAAGCCACTGGGGTTATAGGTGTGAGCCTCCATGCCCAGCTCTTTCTACTCTCTTAAGGCTAAATTTTGTACATTAAATTTTTCATGCTTATATAACTATTAACTTTTATTGATTTTATAAAATTAAAAACCAAGTGTCCTAATGCATTAACATTCAACATTTTTTATATAAACGTAGTTTTACTAATGGCATATTTTTTCAATATTATAGCACCACAGAAATCCTTGGGCCATGAGGTGAATGAGCTGACATCAAGTAAGTTATTAAAGTTAGAAATGGAAAACCAGAGTTTGACAAAAACTGTGGAAGAGCTCCGGAGTACTATGGATTCTGTAGAAGGCAACACCTCCAAAATTCTGAAAATGGAAAAAGAAAATCAAAGGTTAAGTAAAAAGGTAAATAAGTTTATTATGTTACTATAGATATTAGATATATGTATAAATAAATAGTATCTTTGACACAACTTAGCACTCCTAAAAAAAGCGTTCCTTGCTTTCTTCCGTGAGAAAATCTAAGTTCATTGTTAACATTTTTTGTCCCAGACATGGAAATACCTATTTCTCTGAATCTTTTTTTTTTTTTTAATGGGAAATGTTATTTGGAGCTCACAATTTATCATCTTGAAACCCGAATTTTAATTAGGCTTTAGCTGAACAGAAATATTTAATTTTGTAACATTTAAACCAAGTAATTAATTTTTGCGTATATTTTTGTGCCCCCTCACATAATTTTGCATGAATAAAATCATTTCCTAAAAAAGTCCTATGTGATATTCATCATAATGTCCTAAATCCATGTTTTGAAAACCACTGCCTTAGATTATGCAAATATATTCCATGATTTTCTTGCAAAATTTTTACTGCTTTAAAATACTTTTGCATTGATTGTTACCAGTCTGTTAACCAAGTAATCTTGATGAGTATCTGGCAATTGATAGAATATTAAATTAGAAAGTTCATTTAGAAATTGGAACATTTGTATTTTGGTTACCATTATAATTAAACCTGTAAAGTATAGTTTCATTTTGAACTTAGTTTTGATAGCTAGTAAATTCTTAGTGATTCTAGCAAGTTTTGGTCAGTTCATTATATGAAAGAAATTTTTTGTAAATTTAATATTTTATGAATCCCATTTGTGTAAACCAGTAGGTGAGTTTAATAAACTATTATTCATGTATTCCCATCTATATTGGGAGAACCAGATTAATTAATTAGTAATAATTATACTTCCTGAACATGCAAATTAATGTTTAATTGAATTACCCAGTAAAATATGTAACTTGAAGTTAGATGTAGTGGCACATGCCTGTAATCCCAGCCACTCTGAAGGTTGAGACTAGAGGATTGCACTTTGAAGCCAGCTTGGGCAACATAGCAAGACCTTTCTCAAAATTAAAAAGGAATGGAAATGTAGCTTGCTGGTAGAGTACTTGCCTAGAATGTGCAAGGGCCTGGGTTTAAGTAAAAAAAAAAAATTGTGATTTGATGGCTTTTGAGATACTAATTGAAAATTGTATTCTGTGTGTAGTTATATACCACTGTTGTTAAAACAGAAACATTAAACTTGTTCTAGAGTTCTAAAAAAAATTTTTTAAACTATTTATATTTTAGTTGTAGATAAACACAATATCTTTATTTTTATGTGGTGCTGAGGATCAAACCCAGTGCCTCATACATGCTAGGCGAGTGCTCTACCACTGAGCCACAACCCTAGCCCTAATTTTTTTTTAATTGTAGATGGGCACAATACCTTTATTTATTTATTTATTTTATGTGGTGCTGAGGGTCAAACCCAGTTCTTCGTATGTACTAGGCAAGAGCTCTACCACTGAGCCACACCCCAGCCCCTAGAGTTCATTATTGAAATAAGAATTTAACATTTAAACCTGAAGTGGAATATTTCATAAAGTCTTCTATGTCAGTCAGCGTTCTGTTGCTATGACAAAATGCCTGAGGTAAACAGTTTATAAGGAAGAAAAGCTTATTTGGGTTCATGGTTTTGGAGGTTTCACTTCCTGGCAGGCTGGCTCTATTGCTTTTAGGTCTGTGACAAGACAGAACATCATGGTGGGGACCACATTGTGGAGCAAAGCTGCTCACCTTGTAGCAACTAGGAAGCAAAACAATAAGAAGGGACTCAAGTGCCAATTACCCTTTCAAGGGTACATCTCAAATGACCCAACTTCTTTCTAATAGGCCTACCTCCTAAAGGTTCCACCGCCTTCTAGTTGCTCTACAGGCTGTCAGCCAGGCTGTTAACACATGAGACTTTGGAGAACTGTGTAGGTATAGACTGCTGTACATTTTCATTTAAAAAAATGCCTGGTTTGAATATGTTATATAAATAATAAGATTATCAATAGTTTGGAATATTTTAGCTTGAAATTGCTATCCCATACTTATTAACCAACAATATTATTTTATCTTTAAAATGTTATCAATCAGAATAAATTTCTGTCAGCTGGGCATGGTGGCACACCTGTAATCCCAGCCATTCAGGAGGCTGAGGCAGAAGAAATTCAAAGCCTGGCTCAAAACTTAGTGAGACTTTGTCTCAAAATAAAAATATAAAAAAGGCTGGGGATGTATTCAGGGGTAGAATGGCCCTGGGTTCAATCCCAGTACCAAAAGTAAATAAATTTAAACCTAAAATAAAAGTCTTTGCTATAGTTTTGTTCAACCCTATTTCTCTTTTTTTATTTTAAAGCAGTTCCTTCTTGCTTTATTAAAATTATACCATTTTTTATCTCTTCCTTCATACTTTTTATTTTTTTTTATTTATTTTATTTTCTCAGTTCTGGGGGTTGAAGCTGGGGCACTTTATCACTCAGCTAGATTCCCCCAACCCTTTTTAGTTTTTATTTTGAGAAAGGGTCTTGTTCAACTTCTGAGGCTAGTCTCAAACTTGCAGTCTGTCTGCTTCAGCCTTTTTTTTTGGGGGGGGGGGGCAGTACTGGGGGAGTGCCTTGCCCAATCCTCCTGTCTTAGCCTCCAGAGCTGCTGGGATTACAGGCGTGTGCCACTGCACCCAGCTCCTTTATGCTTTTTATATTCTTCTCCTCCTTCTTTTTTTTCTTTTTTTGGTGCTGAGTATTGTACCCAGGGTCTTGTGCATGCAAGGTAAGCACTCTACCAACAGAGCCATATCCCCAGCCCTCTCTTCCTCCTTGCTCACTGAAATTCCATGAATATAATTAAAATTTTATATTACTAATCAACTTAAACTAAGAGAATATTTCAGTAAGATTTGTATAATCCTTATGTAGTGTGTCATTATCATTTATTCAGTTGGATTTGTCTTTGTGTTTAGAAATAGAAATATGCCCTAAAACATGCAGAGGATAAGGAAGATAATCATGTCTGCATATTTTATACATCTATTAAAATTAGTTTACTTTCTATTCTAAATTCTTAAATTTCACCCTTTAGGTATTAAAACTATATGCTTAAATCAATCATTATATTTTGTTTTGACATGTTTCCTCTTTTGGAAAATAGTTAATGTTGTTTTTGTGATTTAATTTTCTCTAGGTTGAAATTCTTGAAAGTGAGATTATTCAAGAAAAGCAAAGTCTTCAGAATTGTCAGAATTTAAGCAAGGATCTAATGAAGGAGAAAGCTCAGCTTGAAAAAACGATTGAAACACTTAGAGAAAATTCAGAGAGACAGGTTCATAAATTTCTTACTTAAGCAAACAATGTATTTTAAAATTTATTAACAAGTGGCTTTAAAGTATATGCAAACAGAATGTTTATATGTTAAAGAGAAATATTTTAGATTTTTTTTTAGATTTTCAAATTAACTGTAGTATTATCCCCTTATCCACAGTTTTATTTCAGCAGTTTTAGTTACCCATAATCTGCAACCATCCATAAATTTTAAATTGCATGCCATCCCAAGTAGCAAGATAAAACCTTATGCCATTCCCTTTGTCCATCATATTCACCCTGTGTACATACTATTTGTCTGTTAGTTATTTAGTAGTCACTTCCATTATCAGATCAACTTTCTAGTTGTAGTATCATAGTGGTTAATAAATTCAGGTAATCCTTATTTTACTTAGTAGTGATTCCAGATTGCAAGAGTAGTGATGCTACAAATTCAGATATGTCAAAGAGGTTGTTAAATGCTTCCTTTAAATGTAAAAGTGAAAGTTTTTGAATTAATAAGGAAAGAAAAAAATACACCAAGATTGGTAAGATCTACAGGAAGTTATTGTTAATTTCTTACTATGCCTAGTTTTTAAATGAAACTTTATCATAGGTGTGTGGATATAGGGAAGATGAGTACACACAGGGTTCAGTACTGTGGGTATTGGGAGTCTTATAATGTATTCCCCATGGATAAGGAAGGACTACTGTGTAATTCTACATCATTTTCTATCCCTTCTGTTTCAGGAAAGGTGAAAAGAAAACCTAAAATTTTTTTAATTGCCTGTGTGCTTAGTAGTAATCTAGCATAAAATTTTGCAGCACCTATTCCTTCAAATGTCTGTGGAGTAGAAATGCAGATTTTGAAATCTGAGTGGAATTAGAGAAATGCATGTGTATTGTGACCCTATTTAAAGAGGAAGAAGGATGGTGGCAGCAGACATCTTAACTACTGTCAAGTTTGCTAGTCATTCTTATTTTATATCTGAGAAAAGTGAATAGATTATCTTGGCTTTTGAAATGTTTGTTTATTTTTTACTTGCTTCTTTTATATCATCCAGGCAGTAGTTAGTCCTAAGACCACCAGTAAAAATTCACATTTCTTTAGGGCACAGAAATTCCTGCAGGTACTTTTACAAACTTCGAAGGATTATTTAACACGCTAAGTTTTGAGACCAATTGTTTTGGGCTATACTACAAATTGGATTAATTGGTTATCAAATGTACTAGGTAATTTTGTTATTAGGTGTTTCCTAACTAGAATTTTTTATTATTTTAGGAATGAACATACACATACATGTACCCATATATATAAACAAATATAATGTGTACATATTTATTGAGGACCCAGTATGCACAGGCATTGCAAAAATGGTTACCTGAAAATAAAACTTCCTGTCTGTAAGGAGGCATGCGCACATTATTTCACCTACATTTATATCTGAATTTGAAGCATAAATAATCTGAAACAATCTGAAGATAATTTTTATTAATTCATATTTTACTGCATAATTATGAATGTCTATCTCAACCACTCATTTAGATTGTCTCATTTATATTGTCTCTAAAGACATGAACTTTAATAAACCTGACAGTATATATATATACAACAGTCTTTAGTAAATAAATATTTGTCAGAATTTAAAATAAGACATACATACATTCTATACTCCTTTGTCTTTTCCCTGTTCATTTTTAGAAAATAAA